ATTTTTCAAAAAAACATTTATGCTTTCAAAAATCTAACCCTAAGAAACACATACAATACTACAACATATGTTGGTGAAACCTAAACCAAAGAATATCATGACTCACTACTTTCACTCATCTATGCTGAAAACAACTGAATTTTGTTATATATTAATTTATATCTCTTAAGACATATGTTAATTACATAATTCTAATTTTACATTTATCAAAATATTTATTACACAATTTTTAAATTATTTTTAAGAAAAACTGTCCCAGACGACTTCAAACTAAGTCGTCTGGACGACTTAGTTTAAAGTCGTCTGGGCAGATGACTTGCGAGGGCTAAAAACGTAAAAAAAAACTCTTTTTTTTTGTTTGTTCACAAGGGGTTGGTTGTAATTTCAACAGCCTTTTAAGTTACTTTTGCATTTGATTCAAGTTTGAGTTTACTTTTGCATTTCAAATCAAGTTTTGAGTCATATTTGGCAATTTTCCCTATTATTATTATATTCATTTATGTAATTTTGAATCAAACACTTTAGCTTATTATATATTTCATTTTAAGCACAATATATATTAAGTTATACATAATTAACCATAGTATATTCACATATCTAAGAATATATTTACATATCTAAGACAATAACCAACCGAAATGAAAATAAGAAAATTAAAACAAAATTTTATTATATTTAGAAAAAAACATTATAGCTGAACTCGAAAATAGATATTATCCAATATGCCAAATTGATAACCAAACCGACTATTGATCCAAAAAATAATTAAATCGACAATAACATATTTAAAGTCATATATATAATTAGAATAATGTAATATTTATTAATATAAATTATATATAAATTGATTCAAGAGTAAAACTAAATATCAATCAATTCTTATAATTACTTTTATGAATATTCATACCCGTGAGCACGGGAAATCACCTAGTATGTATTATAAACAAGAAGACATACGTGTGAAACATACATATCATCGTAATTTTACATAACTGTAAGCCCTAGGAAAAGCACACAAAGGCGCAGCAAAAAACGTAATATGGGGGCTAACTTTCAAATTGTTGAATCAACTCCATAATCTCAAATGTACATGTAATATCGTGCCTTCATACTTTTTCTCTTTTGGTATGTACCTTTTGGGTCTGTTTATGCATCATCTGTGAAGAAAAAAAAAACGTTTTCAAGCAGATATATTGCACAAGAGGTTTTCATGCTGAACAGTATCATACCTTGGTGAGGATCTTCATGTACAAAGAAACTGGCAGCGACTATCAAATAACAAAGAATGAGCATTAATCCTTTGAAGTAATTCGATGTCCCTTCCTGCATTACAACAAACACAGCTTCATGGAGGTAAAACATATCAAGATTTGTTTCCTACACATAGCTTCATCATATTTATAAAGCCACCTGAATAAAGAAAGCTACGACAATAACAGTTATGAACAGTGTAGCCGTCTCGAAAAGCTGGAAATTTAGGTCCATTTGTGCGCCCATCATCCATCCGATCACCACACAGAAAGGAACCTATAAATCCAATCCGGGCAAATGTGGAATCTATCAGACCAAATCTGACAGAAAACGCTAAAGTAGTTGTCCCAAGTTCACATTTCTTAGACTTACCGCAAACATGGATATCTGGATTGAGGAACCAATAGCCACTCCCAAAGAAAGATCCTACAGAGGAGAATATACTCAAATTTATAACCTAAAGAAGAGAAACCAAAATACATCAGAATGGAAGAGGCTTGTCTGCGTACCAGCTTGTCTTTCATGGCGAACATAATAGCACCTGCATGCTCTGCCGCGTTCCCCACTATAGGAAGCAAGATGACACTGATAAAAGATATTGGTATCTTCCACGAGACCGAAGCCCCCTGTCAAAGATTGAAAAACAAAAGCGCAAGTCAAACTCATAAACTCTGCAGTGTAAATGTTAGTATAATCATTCGTTTTTAGTCATTCTATGACAAGAGCCTTCTACAGAAAAGACTGGCGCAGTTGATGGCCTCAGGCTTATGATTATTCGGAGGAATATTACAAGTATCTAAAACATATTCCGGTTTATGTCTTGCATCGTTGAGTTTTTAACATAAGCCAAACTAGTATACTCATTTTATAGTGTTGTACTGATCATATAGCATAAACAGGTCTAGTTAATACCGCAAGATCTTCATAAGGAACAAATACAGAAAAACAGATACTTATTTACCTCTATGGCATCCACAAGATAGCCGGAGAGAAGAGAGACCCAAGCCGTCAAGATTGAAAGCCAAATGATAGCTTCCAACTTGGAGATCTCAGGATCTTCATCATCGTCCGAGGTTTCTTCGCTCTGGTTCATATCCTATCAATTACAACATGTATCAAATAAAAAGATTCAAATGATGAAACTTGTAGAAAACAATTTTATATTTGTTTATCTTTAATAAGAAAAACTAAAGGCTGAAGGCAGCAAACCTCGGTGAGAGGGGTATAAGAACTGCGCTGGCTCTTTAGCTGGAAGAAAAGGTAAGCAGCATATGCGACGAGCATTATGCAACTACTGAACCTTGAGAGAGCAAGCTCTGACGAACCAGCATGAACCTCACTATGTGTGTAATGAAGAACAGCAGGGAAGAGTAGCCCCATAACAGCCATCAAAAGCAATCCTGAATTCACAACCGCATTCCCCTGTATTGCAGAAGATATAAACTCAGAACCATGGTACATACTACAGAACAACAAGAACAAATCAGGAAAAAAAAAGAGAAACAGAATGTCAATCAGGCGAATGATAATGCCTACTTTGTCAAAGACTTGTTCTTTACGGGAAAATACAAGGCCGCCACAGAAAAAGGCGCAGCCAAGAACAAGCAACATGTTAGAGAGAATGGAGCCGAGCAGCGTCAGCTGTACAACTCGTATCATTCCATTATTAAGAGCGAAAATCGATATGATGAGCTCTGTCACGTTTCCAAATGTAGCATTAAGGAGGCCTCCAACTGCGAAAATTTGTTTAGAGCGTCAGAAAACAATAGCCCTGTTCGTTTGGTTACCGCAGNGAGTTTTGTTCGTTTCATAGACGCAAGACATTGACGCAGACGCATGACGCAGACGCAGGAAAATGATTTATGTTGTTCGTTTGGCAGACGCAGCGGCAGGAAATTTTATTTTCCTTTAATTTATATTTTAATTTTAAAAATTTGTAAAATTGTATCTATACTATTATATAAGAAGTAAATTTGCTTAGTTGTCAACTTCTCCTTGATTTTAGGTAAATTTTTTATTTATCTTTAGTTAAAAAATTAAGTTAAATATTAATAGTTAAATATAAAGAAACCAATGCTGATTTATCAACTTCTCTATGGTTTTATATTTTGCTTAGTTATCATATTTTAATAATCTCATATATAATTTATTAAATAATAAAAAGAATGTATACTAATAATAATAGATTTACAAAAATAAGATAATTCTTATGTATTAGGTTGTTATCTTGAACATATATTTTTTATTAGAAAATTTAAGTGAATTATATGATTTGTAATTTCTCCATGATTTAGATAATTTGATTATTTTCAAATTTTAATAATTTCATATAAAATTTATTATAAAATAAAAATGAATTTCTATTAAAAACTATATTTTAGAAAATAAGATACTTCTTATGTATTATATTGTTATCTTGAAAATATATTTTTATAATAGAAATAAAAAATTAAGATAGGAAAAAATTATAATTTAAATAAATTAAAGCAACACCTTTGTAAAAATGTATTTTTAAAATTATTTTGTTATGTGAGTGTTGTCATTAATAATTAATTTTAAAACATAAATCATAATTTATTATATTGGTTTGAATTAATAAAATACAAACTAATAATAAATTGTACGAAAATTATGCCTGCATGTGCGGGCAAAACACCTAGTTTTAAATAAAGAAAATGCTGTTTAAATATATTTTACATCCATCGAATATTTTATTTAATTGGTAAGAATTTTTTAGGCAAATATACTAATTTAACAACATTTATTTATCATAAATATTATAAATAAAACAAAGTTTTAAACCACAAAGTCTTAAACCACAAATAATATATCAAAGTATTTAACACAAAACAAAAGCTAAATAAATACATCAAATCTTAAATAAATAAAACAAAGTTTTAAACCATAAAGTCTTAAACCACAAATAATATATCAAAATATTTAACACAAAACAAAAGCTAAATAAATACATCAAGTCTTTAACAATAATATTTAATACGTAAACGACCTATACCACATTCCTTTGTGATGTTTTTACGCACTTCTTCCATCACTACATCACGAGTTGGCTCATATGAAGTACTAGCTTCTCCTTGTTCTTCACCATTACCATCAGCTTCTTCTCTTTCTCCATCATCAACACTTTGCCATTGTACAAAATCACGATCTATATGTGTTTTAATATAGATGGTGTAGCATTTATTTCAAGTTGTGATGTATATGTGTTTGTACATGCAAATTAGTTCGTAGTTAATGAAATATAGGCATATGATTGGGAACCTCTCAAGTATGAGAAACTAATTACATACGATTTTACTACCTTAGAGGAGAAACCAATGTTTCATTTCGCTATAACTACACATATACTCATCTTAACCAGTTTCCATCCTACAACTAGTCTCCAAGAGAGGAGCTAAGGTCAACGAAGCCATTCACAGGACAACATGTAGAGAACAAGGCAACAAAACTATCAAGGCAAGAAATCTCGTAAGAGTAGAGTAACGTGTAATTTGACGCAAGAACAAGAATATTATATCACACCGATACAAGAACTAGACATTACAATCTCATATAGATAGATACATAACCTAAAAGCTCCATACATGATGTCATGAATCATAGAGACTCATCACGTCTTCATCATACAAACCTCAACAATAATAAGCATGTCTGCCTCACAACTCTAGTCTCTCTTATATATAAGCATGTCTAACAAAACAAAAACAAACAAAAAACACTCTACATGAAACAGAGACTTCTCTGCCTATTCTCCTACACACTATCTCAGCACCTTGAGACACACAGACACAGCTATGGAGAAGCCTGAGAGAGCCTGAGAAAAACCCACAACACATTCATCAATGATATGCTTCACACAAATAAATCACATAACACAAAAAAAAAACACTCAAGTAATAAAACTTTTACAATCAAAAACAAAGTTTTCAGAGTAGCAAACTCAGAGTTGTACCTAAATGATAATTGAATGGGATAAGAGAGAGCTTGAGATCTGTCTATGGAGAAGAGAGAGAACTCAAGATGCTCAGGGAGAGAGCTTGAGAGACGTCTATGGAGAGAGAGCTGGAGAGGCCAAAGAGGAGTAAAGCACCTATCAATTAACATAAAACGCTTCATCAAGATCGACACACAAAATCTTAGCTTCAAAGCTTGAAACAGAGCCTATAATCACGTGAAATAGAACAAAAGTAACAACATTTCAGTGAACTTATGATGAAACAAAACAGAGCTCATCCTCAACCGAGAGCAAAACAGAGAATGAAACAATATCAAAGGTTAACAATCAAAGCAAACCCATCACCAGAAACAAGCAAACAATACATCAAACCAGAGACCACAGACTCACGGTGAGAGAGACCAAAGCAGAAGAAGAGAGACCACAGACCTCAAACCTGAGCTTCAGAGAGTTTCAGAGAGCTTCAAAGAGCTTCAAAGGGTAGAGACATGTCGGAGGTGAACAAAGCAGATGCAGATGTCGGAGGTGAACAAAGCAGGAGAGCTCACATAGCTCTTCGGAGAAGAAAGAGAGAGCGTCCGAGAAGAGAGAGCTCACATAGCTCTTCCTGCGTCGAGAGAGAGAGGGATGCGTCTGGAGAAGTTGGAGATGCGTCGGAGAAGCTGGAGATGCGTCGGACCGAGAGAGAGAGAGCTGGAGATGCGTCGGACCGAGAGAGATAGCTCGAGATGAGTTGGAGATCGAGAGAGATCTCCTCAAGAAGTCGCGTCAAAGGAGAAGAGAGTTGCGGCTGCGGCTAATAAACCTAGGTCTTTTTGTAAATAATGAATTAGATCAAGGGTAGAATTGTAATTAAATTAAGTAAACGCAGGAATTACTCGAGATACGCTTGTTTTTATCTGCGTCAGACGCAGATGTCGCGTCCAGCCGCAGCCGCAGCCGCAGGTCCTCCGCGTCAAGGAAACGAACAAAAGTTTAGAGAAAACTCAGCCGCAGCCGCANAACCTAGGTCTTTTTGTAAATAATGAATTAGATCAAGGGTAGAATTGTAATTAAATTAAGTAAACGCAGGAATTACTCGAGATACGCTTGTTTTTATCTGCGTCAGACGCAGATGTCGCGTCCAGCCGCAGCCGCAGCCGCAGGTCCTCCGCGTCAAGGAAACGAACAAAAGTTTAGAGAAAACTCAGCCGCAGCCGCAGCCGCAAGACTGGCGGCGACCAAACGAACAGCACTACTCTGGCCATGTTTTCGTCTTCAATTAGGTTAATCGCATCGGGTATCCACCCGATTCAAACCCTAAAATCGCCGGTAAATACCCCGAGACTCTTCACCTCCGTGACTAGATTCATCCACTCTGATTCTAATTCTCCGGGAACTGGATCAAGTTCCAGTAGTAGAATCGCGATGAGCAGCAGCGTTGGGAAAACCGAGTTCGATTCAGGCGCAACCGGCGAGAATCGGGCGAGCAGAATAAAGGAGAAACTGGAGAAGGAGCTGGAACCGGTGGAGTTAGTGATCGAGGATGTGTCGTATCAGCACGCTGGTCACGCGGGGATGAAAGGTAGAAGAACAGACGAAGAGACGCATTTCAATGTGAAGATCGTATCGAAAGGATTCGAAGGAATGAACCTGATGAAGAGGCACAGGCTTGTCTACGATCTGCTCAGGGAGGAGCTGGATAATGGATTGCACGCGCTTTCTATTGTCTCCAAGACTCCCTCCGAGTCCAAACGCTAGGATTCTCCCCCTCTCTCTCTCCGATAAAACATTCTCTGTTTCTCTATCGTTGATGCTTTAAAGACTATATATTTCCTTGTCAAAGTGTGTTGATGTTTGCTTTGCATCTAAACAAGGGCACTTGCTTTTAAAATCAAATTGAATTCTATAAGTGAATTGTTCATATAGCTTGATGAAACGACTTAGTCTCCATTTGTTATCTCTTATTTGGATTAAGCTTTAGTTGAAAGTCATGTATGTTTGGGAAGGAATGTTGCTACGTCAAAACTATTTAGGTCTTGTTTAGGGTGGTCAAATGATATGTCTCTTTTGAGCAATGTTTCAGCTCGGAGCCAATCAGCCTAGAGGGTTTCTGTTATCATGTTTCAGTTCAGCCTCTTCTTTAATTGCTCTCCTTCAGATTCTCCCGATTATGAACAGTGTCATTAACGTTAGAAACGAAATGCCTTTGTTCAATAGCCAGCCCACTTCCCCTTTTGGGCAACAAAACATGTGCTTTTTGGGCTTAAACCAGTGATCAATGGCTAAAGCCAATCGTCATTTCCATTTTTTAATAGAAGATGAATCGTCCCTCTTCTTTAAGCTATTACATCATCATCAACAGAGCGGCAATAATTTTGGTACGACATTTTTTTTTAAAATGAGGAAAAAACAAAAGCTTTCCAAAATATCATCTTCCGTCGTCACTACAATGGACATGAAAGAGCATTTTGAGCTTAACAGAGATAGAGAAGTATGGCTCAAACACTATTCATCAAACCATCAGATACTTCTTGTTGGCGAAGGAGATTTTTCATTCTCCTGCAGTTTAGCCACCCGCTTTGGCTCTGCTTCCAATATCTGCGCTTCCTCACTTGACTCATACGGTAACCCTTCCTTTGTTTTCTTGCTTACACAATGTGAGAGTTTATAGGGCCTTGGCTCTCGAGTTTTAGAGCTTTTGTTTCACTTTCAGCTAAATGGAAATCGATTTTTAGGGCATCCGGAGCTTCCGGTGAAAGATTTGATTGTTCAGCTCTGCATTCTTCTTCTAATTAACTCTGTTTATTGCTTATAACTTAAGCATGTTAAAATATTGTAGCTTTAAGTTGGATCCCTCTGTTGTTTGATGTACGTCTCTTTTGATGATTCGAAGCAGATGATGTGGTTAGAAAGTATAAGAAGGCAAGTTCGAACCTTAAAACTTTGAAGAGACTTGGAGCTTCCCTTTTACATGGAGTTGATGCAACAAAACTGAAACAACACACTGATCTTAATTGCAGAAGATATGACCGAGTCATCTTCAACTTCCCGCATGCAGGTTTCCACGGCAAAGAGTCTGATTCCTCTCTTATACGGTGACTGCACTATACTGCTGCAAATTTTTAGGGAATCTTTTGTTTTTAAGATTATTAAATGTTCTTTCTGTTTGTTGTAGGAAGCATAGGGGACTAGTGTTCGGATTTTTCCAAGGTGCAAGTCGGATGCTAAGAGCTAATGGAGAAATTCATGTCGCTCACAAGAATAAGGCACCTTTCTGTCACTGGAACCTGGAGGAGCTCGCTAACAAATGCTCCCTTGTGTTGAAACAATGTGTGGCTTTCGACAAAAAGGATTATCCTGGTTATGAGAACAAGAGAGGAGATGGGTCCAGATGTGACCGAACTTTCATCTTGGGAGATTGCAGTACTTTCAAGTTTCACGTGGCTAAGGAGCTTTATACAGAGAAGTTGAAATGGAGACAAGTGAAGGGAGGAGAATCAAAGCGAGAGTGCACTAAACGCGTCTCTAGAGTTTCGTCTGAGATTCATAGTGGGGAACTAGGAAGGATATCACCACGGGAACGGACAAGATTTCCTTACCGGTACACTAAAGAATCACCAGAAAGACACCACCTGCTTTGTCAAACAGTCCAAGCTAATTAAGAACCATCACCCAAAGGTTTTCATGGGATTCATAAGGTGAAAGGCCGAAAAATGTTAGTACGGAACAGATATTGTTCTCATTCAAGCACTGGAGAGAATTATGAGAAGGAATCATGAGTACTCGGAGCAACCACACGACTCACTAACAAAACTCTTAAGAATAGTATTGTATGTCCGTCCTCTTATGTTTTTTTAGGCTCGGCTAGCTAGCTCAAAACTGGGATGATGATCCATGTGGAGAGATAAATTTTGGGGAACTTTTGCGTATATGTTTAGTTTTGTGTGTGTGGAAATTGTGTAGTAGAATAAGAAATGGTTGCGGGAGAATTTCTCAGAACGTTGTATTTTTCCACTCCATGACGGTAGGTGGATCCGAACGTTGTTTCATGTTTTAAAAAAAAAAAATATCTTGTAGACAATCACTATCCGAGCTGCAGAACTCTTCAATGTCGTCGTTAAACAAGTAATTAAGTAACTAAATCATGAAAGTTTCAACCAAAATGCAACGAAGTTTTGGTCTTGACAAAAAAATAAACAAAATAATACTGTTGGAAACTGGTAAATTTCAATGGAATTTGCTTATAGAATTACTACGAAACACATCCAACTGTTGACAAAAGTACACAACTTTTTCATTAAGCCTAGGACTTTAAGCTTTAATTAATAATATTATATGTATGGTCTTGGCAGTTAATCTATCGTTATTATAGGTATATGTCAATACTATAACATTGTTTTATGATTTGAAACATAACATCCTTGATTATATAATAGATAAACCGTATATATATAATATTATATTTTTGTAAACAAATTAGGAAGCTAGATATTTCTCATCCGTTTGTTTATGACCATTGTTTTCTTTATATAAACACTCACAACCCTACACAGATTCAAGTATTCCCACCTTATTACATATAAAGTATTGGTTTCTCTCCTTAAACACACATCGGAAATATACTCTCCTGCAGTATGATGAGGGTAATTGCTCTTTTGTTTTCCTCTTATAGTTAGTCCCCTTCGCTGAAACAACATTTGTTGCAAAACACAAAACATTTCTAGAATTTCTGAAAATAATGTTGTAATTTTTTTGGTAAAAAAAAAATGTTATAATCATATTTTTCCGTTATATCATATATGGTTCTTTCTTCAGCAAAGGATAGTTCTGAAGATGGATATGAGCGAGAATGAGAAAACAATACAGAAAGCCATGAAAATCGCGTCAGGAGCATCTGGTAACACATCTCTCTGACTTCTTTTGCAAAATTAACTTGCAAGCCAAGTTAGGTCACGTGAAACGTTTCAGCAAAATAATTTGTTTACGTGCATGCAGGTGTGAGATCTGTCACGATTCATGGACAGAACGATCAGTTGGTTGTTGTGGGAGCTGGAATTGACACGGCCGAGCTAACACGTACGCTCCGGAAGAAAATTTCTCAAACCTGCACCATCGTCACCGTTCAGGCTGCACCGCCTCCACCGCCCCAGGAGCAGCAGCAGCCACCGCAGTTTCATCTAATGGAACATCACAACGAGATGGCTCCGGCGAGAAGATGCATATGCGAGATACCGAATTCGGGTTTCTGCGGGTTTTGTAGAACCCCTTACCAGATGATAGCTCTGGCGCCATATCCAGCTCCGGTGGTCTACCGTGAAGAATCTGATGGATGCAGAATCATGTGATGCACTGATGTGAAGCTTTCAACTCTGAGTTGATATTTGTTTGATTTTCTTCTTTTTTTCATACAAGTTATGACATTTTTAAATTCCTGGTGCTGTAAATATTGTGACATGTGACAATGGGACTAAAAGTATTCTTTTTCTTGGAACACCACCAAAAAAGATTCATTAATACTTTCTGTATAAAATGTTTGAGTATATACCCTTTATAATCTGATGAAACTTGAAAGGATTTACATTTTAAATTGTTCTCTAATAATGTGTGTCTTTTGTCCTGAATCAAGTAGTGCTTAGTATATACCCATTATGATGTGATGAAGTCAAGTCCATTATTATCATTTTTCAAAGACTTTTGCGTTGGTGAATGTCTTAAGGACTGGGTCGTGGATAGAGAGAGTCGTCACATTTCAAAGAAAACTAGTTTTCATTCCCACAGAAGTTATGTATTTATTTATTATTTAAAAGAGAAAAGTGCCATTAAAATCTTGAAATTTTAAATTAAAACCAATAAAATCTCCAACTCATATTTGAACCAAAAAAACTCTTCAACTTTCAAATATTAGTCGTTTTAACTCTTATATTTTGCTGACTCGGCTACTTAAGAAACCCGGATAGTCAACTGTTATTAAAAAATAGACGTCTGTTAACTCTTTAAACGAAGTTGTTTCAAAAATTGATTAAATTTAACACTATTAAAAGGAGAATAACAAGCCTTATGGAGTTATCCACGTCGGCAATTATATTTGTCCTTTATTTTCTTTTGCCACATCAGCGAATATTTTGGGTTTCGAGGTCCAGTAAACCCAAATCGCCGTAAGCGCCTTCGCCTTTCCTCACCTCCGTTCTCATTTCGTAGAACCCTAATTTTATGTCGACGAGTCCTTTCCTCTCTGCCTATCTTTCTCTGCGTATCTACTCTTATCTGACTCTCTTTCACTCTCTAGGTATGTTTTTTCTTTTCTTCTCAGATCTCTTCTCCATGTATCTCCATGCTCGCGAGATCTCGGTTCATGTCTCTCCTTCTCCACTACAGGCACTGTCAATGGTAACAAATCCTCTCCTCCTTCTCAGATCTACAATAATTAGCTTTCTCATCATCTCTCTTCTGTGTGGCTTTGATTTTGTTGCAGGTTGAAGAATCGAAGGGTGAAGATGGACAGTGGAGCGATGTGGTGATGGCAGAGGAGGAGAGGACGTGGTTTCTAATGGTGGATGCTCATCACATATGTCTACTCGGCGGTGGAAAGAGGCATCATATTGGGTAGCTTGATAGAGGATGGTTTATCGTATAAGGAGAAGTTCATAGTCAGATCCCATAAATGCAGTGTAAGCGCTAAGGTTAGTATATTAATTTGAAGCGTTTCTTCTGACTCCCACGAAACCTGCTCAATTTTTAATGGTTTCTAAGGAAGACTCTTTCAGAATAAATAAAAGAGTGATTTTAATTGTGTTTAACTGAAACTAATGTAGTAAATTAATTGAAATAGTTACATTCATTTGGTGTTTTCGAGTCAGGAAATGATGAAAGTTGGTGTATTTTGCGTGCGGATTGGAACTTTCTGAAAAGAACTTGAAGATAGGGTTGCTTGTGTCAAAAGCGTGAGGCAGACAACTTGATACTATTTTTTTCTTTCTCCAAGTTAGTATTCTCTCTCTTTTATTTTTCATTGTTCTCGATTTTTTGAAGTTTTTTAAAAAAAAGAGCTCACATCATACTTTCTATCAATTTTTGTAGCTCACTTGACCAATTCCATAACAATTTAAACCTCTTTAAATCATTTTCGTTAAATATACTAGCTCTCTTGAATATAGATGTAGGACGTTTAACACTAACACAAATGGTATATTTTTAAATGGTATATTGGATCTATGTTAGGAGGTGGGATGTAACCAGTTTCAGAGTGTTTGATTTTCGACTGATGGGTTTGCGACAACACCTACCATGAGGAAACGGAATCTCATATGGGTCACTTCGAGAATGCACTTTCAGATCTACAGACTTGATGTTTGCTTTCTCCACTGGTTTGTGCAATGGAATTAAATTTTCTTATGTTAAAGATATAAGTTTCAGTTGCTTTGATTTATGAGACTGTCATAATTAGTTATCCCTATGTGTTACCAGTTCCAGCAAGTGGGTGATGATGAACCAAGTCACAAGACGGTAAATTAGGTGTCCATATACATTAGGTGTTAATTTTCTTTTGTGTTGCAGGATGACTTAGGTGAGAATGATGAAGATGATGAGGACGATGACGAAGATGATGATGGAAACAAGTCCAAGAAGAATACATCACGCAGTATAAACATTTGATTGCAATCCATGCTGGGAAACCAAAACGTGGAATCACTGAGTGCTTAAAAGTTGATCCTAATAAGTAAGACGCCTTAGCTTAAGCAAAGAACAGCTTGAAAAGGCTGCAGAAAAATATGCAAAACAGATTGTGAGGTATGGTCATATAATCTTTATCATCTTATCCAAAAAGTAACAATTACAATCATGTTTGTTAATCAGGTTTACTCAGAGAAATCTGTTGAGGATTTACCCAAAAGGAACTAGAGTTACTTCATCAAATTACAACCCGTTAGTTGGGTGGAGCCACAGTACTCAAATGGTTGCTTTCAGTATGCAGGTTCCCTCTTTTAGCTATATCACCAACCTATTCTTCATCCAAGTCTTTTATAAAACGTTTTCGCAATGTACAGGGATATGGAAGATCATTGTGGCTAATGCTTACCTGTGTTTATTTATTTACAGGTTCCCTCATTTCATAAAATTATATATATTTACCTGTGTTTTTAATCACTTCACAAAGTGTTGATATTTCCTTTTGTTGATATCATTGGTTGATATCCCTAGTATAGCATCTTCGACTTGGGCAACGAAATCACTGTTTAGAAATAAATTCATGATATTAAATATCGTAGTATATGTGTGGTAATTAAAACACTACTGCATATAAAGAATACTACTTACTTTTCAAAATACTCAAGGTCCTCGCAGTTAAGGAGTATATATGTGTGGGCACTGTGAGTGTCTTCAGAACTCGACCACCAAACTTCTCTCAATTTTCCACCTAGACGTCCAACCTGACAGAATATGTCTAGAACGTCTTCAACAAAATATGTCGGCACAACACCACCATCATCATACCTGGTCGTTGTTCTTTTCCGTGTCTGGGCTTGTGATCCAACGTAGTACGACGTGAAATGAGATGTTTTCGCATTCAAACTTCCAACAACTATTGAACCTTCCACTCTTGCCAGATTTTTTGTTTTCCCTTTTAAATGTTTCATGGCTCGCTCGTAAGGATACATCCGTCCATTATGAACATGTCCACGAAGCAGTGCCTCTTACGGGAGGTGGATAACAAGATGTTCCATGACGTCAAAAAAGTCAGAGGAAATATTTTTTCCAAATTGCACATCAATATCGGGATATTCTCATCAAGTTGTCTGATTACATCTACAGTTAAGGTGCGTGCACTATGATCTCTAAAAAAAGATCCAATGCCTACAAATAATTAATGTACAAGCCAACGTAAGAAACTTTCTAATGTACATGGCCAAAAAGTAATAATTAATAACTTTAATATTATTTGTTGCATGCAAGTGCTTCATGAACATCTTTTGGAAGTAACTCCGCAAATACAAATGGTAGAAGTCGTTGCATAAACACATGAAAGTCATGACTCTTCATCCCTGAAAACTTTTGTTCATGCTGATCCACACATTTTGATAAATTTGAAACATATCCATCTGAAAACTTCACATCAGATGCCACCCACTTGAACAACGCCGCTTTTGCTGGTGCTGACAGTCTGAAAATGGGAACCGGAATTTCCCCATCGTTTTGAATATGCAGCTCAACCTTTGAACATAATGCAGGCAAATCCAACCTTGAGTTTTTTTTATCTTTTGTCTTCCCAGAGACGTTCAACAAAGTATTTATGATGTCAAATAAATTCTTCTCTATATGCATCACATCAAGATTGTGGCGCAGATATAGATCTTTTCAATATGGAAGTTCTCAAAATATACTCTTTGTGCCAATTATGTTGTGTCCCGTAACCGTCGGGCATATTTGCAAGAGTGTGCCAATTACCCCCCATGGTGACTGTGTTTAGTCCTCCATAGTAATCAATATCTTTCTCAAAATATTACCCCCCATGGTGACTGTGTTTAGTCCTCCATAGTAATCAATATCCATAGTAATCGATAACTTTTCAATATGGAAGTTCTCAAAATATACTCTTTTTGTGCCAATTATGTTGTGTCCCGTAACCGTCGGGCATATTTGCAAGAGTGTGCCAATTACCCCCCATGGTGACCGTGTTTAGTCCTCCATAGTAATCAATATCTTTCTCGATTTCTTCTCAAGTTAAATAGGGTGGAGCGGTGTCTCTTACAACCCTCTTTGACCGAAACAATTTCTTATTCCTTCGGTACGGATGGTTAATGGGAAGAAATCTTCGATGACAATCAAACCAGGAAGTTTTCCTACCATTCTTCATCTGAAATGCGTCTGTGCTTCCCATACAATAAGGACAAGATAGTCTCCCATGCGTCGTCCAACCTGACAACATCCCGTATGCATGAAAGTCACTAATGCGTCGTCCACAAAAGAACTGCTCGCATTGTGAAGTTTTTTTTTGTTGAACACTCATATGTTTGCACGCCTGTTGACCATAATTCCTTCAACTCTTTTATTAAAGGCTATAGAAAAACATTCAGTGACCTCTTTGGATGCTTTGGTCCAGGTATCAATATACTCATGAAAAGCAATTCCTTTGCCATACACATCTCTGGAAGAAGGTTGTACGGTGCCAAGAAGACTGGACAAAGCGAGTATTGTCTTCCAGACATTCCAAATGGACTAAAGCCATCTGTACAGAGCCCAAGATAAACGTTCCGGGGGTTGCTTGCAAAATCAGGGTACACCGAATGCAAGTGTTTCCACGCTTTTGCATCAGAGGGATGATTGATCTCGCCTTCCTTCTGAGTATGTTCCGCATGCCATCTCATTGATGATGCCGTCTTCTCAGATTGATATAATCTCTTCAGTCTATCCTTAATGGATAAGTACCACATCCGCTGGTACGACACCCTATTCCGTCCACATCCTTACGGTTTATATCGCGGCTTCTTGCAAAATTTACACTCTAACAATTCTGCATCGTCTCCCCAGAAGATCATACAGTTGTCTATACATACATCTATCATCTCTGAAGGCAAGCCAAGACTATGAACAAGTTTCTGAATCTCGTAATAAGATTCATCACACAAATTGTCTTCAGGCAAATACTCTTTACACAACTCAGCTCATGCATCCATACAAACTTAAGGTAAGTTATGATCAATTTTGATATTCATCATCCTAGTAGCCAATGATAATTTAGAAAGACCTTCTCTACAACCTTCATAAATTGGCTCATTAGCTGTTGCTAGCATTTCGTAAAATCTTTTTGCATCCATGTTAGGCCCCTCTACATTTTCTACCTCCTCTATAATAGATGTTGTTTCACGAAATGCATCTGTGACCATATCATGCATCCTATCATGATCTACCATATGATGATCCTCTTGAAGGTAACTTTCAGAAAGCAAATGTGGTTCCTCTCTGTTATGAACAATTTCAACCTGATTACTACTACTAGCTTCATTCCTATTATCATCTTCTCTGTGGTTAAACCAGATATAGTAATGTGGAGTAAACTCTCTATTTACTATATGTTTCCAAACCGTTTCACTAGCAGCAAACTTCGTATTGTTGCATTTACGACAAGGACATAACATTTTACCCATTTCCTGTGTGAGAGACGTTTGTCCGGCCTGGTTCATGAACATCTCTGCTCCGTTGAGAAATTCGTCAGTTACTCTTCCCCTTGAATCTTTATGTGCATACATCCAACTCTGAATCTTATAAATATTTCTAGACATTGTTTTTTAAAGTTTTCTATTTTTTTTCTTCCGTTTTAAGAATGAGGGAGAAGATCATATTTATAGAGAAATTTCAATTTTGGTAGGTAGTTAACTTAGTAGTTAAATAGATGCAAAATAGATGCAAAACTATTAGTTGTAATGCAGTCGCACTTTTACAACCAATTTACAACTCCTGTGGATGCTGATTAGTCTTTAATTGGTGGTTAAAAAATTTGGATGTACATTAGTCGTAATATTACAACCAATGAGTGACTAATGGCATTTACGACAAATTAGGGACTACTTTTGAAATATTTGAAAAAAGAGAAGAAAGATACTCGAATCACAACTCTGTAGATTCTAAGCGAAACCAACGTTTCAACGTTCGTCCCGCATTGATATTTTCGGGATTGTGATCCGAGTAGTTTTTTTCTCTCTTTTTCTCAGATTTTTTAAATTTTTCGACTCAATTATCAACTCTCTTTTTCAAATATTTCAAAATATTTGTTTGGCTTTTGGAGAAAAAGATGGCTCTTTTTATAGGAGATGTTACGACTAATTAACTTCGAAAGCTTTACGACCAATTAGCATCTATGTCCACCAATTAGTCGTAATCTGGTCGTAGATTACGACCAATTAACATCGACTTGCCTGTAAGCCCTAAACCGAAATCCCAAACACCATTGGTCGTACATTGGTCGTAAATGAACGACTAATGTACGTCTACGCGAACACGCTGTCGTACATTGGTCATTCTGTTACGACTAATGTACGACTAAATTTATTGGTAGCAAATTAACCTCTCTTTTACGACTAATGCCTTTGTAAACATAACTTAGTCGTAAATGAGATGGTAAATTACGACTACATGTATGTAGTCGTAATATGTAGTCGCTAGACCAACGTTATCTTGTAGTGGCTAGAGTTCTGGGGAATACAGTAATGAAGAAGACAAAGATGTTGGAGGATAATTGGGTACCAGCTTGGGATGAGGTATTTGAGTTCCCATTAACGGTTCTGGAGCGATTCCGAAGCTGGCGTTACTGCGATTATAAGTGCATGAGAATGACATGTCAGAGAAAGATGATTTTGGAGGACAGACGTGCTTGCCTGTTTGGGAGTTGAAGGAAGGAATAAGAGCGTTTCCTTTACATAGAGAAGTACAAATTCGTTAAGCTTCTCGTGAGGTGTGAGTTTGTGTAATATGGTATTGATGAGTTTGTGAATTTGGGTTCAAAGGATTTGATGTGTGCATGTGTGAGAGAGAATGATTGCTTTATTTGTTGTGTGTAATATATGTATACAGTAAGTGGCAAGAGAGATAATATATTTAAATTTGTTACAGTAAGTAGCACTCTTACGCAGTCGGAATAAGATCCTTCTTGTTCTCAATCTCGTTTTTACTCTTTTTTACTTATTCTCGTCATTTACTTGATTGCTTGAGTGCGGTTCC